ATTTATGACGATCGTAACGAGAATAACTCGAAGGTCTAGCGTTTTCCAATTTACATTCGTCATTGACATTTTCTTCTATTCGAACGATATTACTACACTCTAATACAATTAAATACTACAGATACGTTGGAATACTAAAAAAAAAAAACAATAAATTATTACTGAGGAAAATACTACAAGGTGACATTTTTAATATATTGTTTAACCTTCGTGCACTGTGTTCGATTTAATTTGACCCAAAGACAATTTTTGATCTTTAATCATATTCTTTATTGCAGAAATTCGTTAACTAATCTGAAAATAATAGTTTACATGTTTATTGTGTATTAGAATCTGGCGACAAAAAAATATATTTCTTTAATTCTGTTTAACGTAAAATCTTCTAATTCAATTTGATTCAATAGTAATGCAACTGATTTTTTTTTCTTCTTAGACCTCGAATTAAATTGAATTCAACTTAGATTTTTCTATTTTTCGACATAGACTTTCTATTAACTTTAATTCAACAGTAATGCAATAATTTATTGAAGAGTATAAAACAGTTCAACATCTGTTTCGATGTAGTTTCCCCTACTGAACAGTATGAAATACGTAGAAACGTGAAAACTAGTCGTTGGCCTACGAAAGAAACTAAGTGTCGACTTTTTCAAAAGTTACCGCGGAAAAATCGACTTTCACTTTGTCACGTCCGGTTAGTAAAAAGCGGCGCGCGACGACGAGCTACATAGGTAGTTTATCAAGTGAAATCTCGAATTCCGAGTGGGTAGAAAAAAGGGGGACGTGTGCCACTATTAAGGAGAAACAAAAGAATCCAACTTATTCCAGTGTTTTATCGAGTCTTTCCTCGATTACTGCAAGATATAAATTTAACGAGTCTTTAAATATCGTAAAGCCGGCCGTAAGAAAGTCTAAAGAGGTAACCTGTTAGCAGATCCGTGTATAATTCAATAGAAAAGAAGTAGAGTATGTAGAAATAATCAATTTATAAGGTAGTCAATAATGTATACAAAAATGCTGAAATCCGTACTTTATTTATAATGAGGAAAATGAATGTAACAAATTATCATCATTTTTCAATTATTTCTCTGAAGATTTATATGCAGTGATTGCACTTAGCCGTGTAGTGTGACTATATTATCTAAAAGTTTTCTATTTTTCCATTTGTTTTTTTCGTAACTTAATATTTCTTTACCAGAGCACGAAATCTGTTTGTGTATGTATGGTACACAGATTTATATAGATCACAGTGAAAGTGAAAAATTTGGCAAAAGTAAACGAAATCTTTATTTTTTGTTTTATTAAATCACTTGATTGTTGGAAGAAGTTTTTCCTTGATCCTCTTTGAATTCTGTAAAATCGTCTATTTGTCTAGTCTTATTGATATAATCTAGTTTTTATTACTATTTAAGAATCTCCGTGCATTCGTAGTGTCTCTAAACGTGCAAAACATAGTAAACTGGAACTACTGTTGAATAAGCATGGAATTTTAATTTTTATAAATTGTGTCCAAAATTGTGAATTCGCGTAAACAACCTCAGTTTAATGGCCAAAAGTCCTCTATCAAACTATAATTTGAATTAATTCAGTTTCTCGAATAATTTCACCGACAGAATAATTCTCACTATTTCCTGTTAGACACAACTTACCGATGTCACTTTAAAGTTTCCTTTTCATTGCGTCCTATGAGTTATAAGTGGCAGCAATTATCGAACGATCAGTCATCGCTAATTGCGCTCGGTGAGCTCTTAATCGATCGTGATCTTGAATCCAACGCTTATTTTCCTCGTGTCTATTCACTTTCTTCCAATTCTTGTTTCTATTTACGGGACAGTAATTACGCGGATTCCGTGGTCATGGTTACCATGTAGTCCAGAAAGGGCAATCCGATCAGCTTTCACCCGAATAACTTGTCTCCCTCGCACAGAAACCTCTTACGAAGTACACATAAACGCGTTTCGTTGGCAGGAAAGTAGGATTTCGATGAAATTTTCACTGTGTCCAGGCTGTGGACATCTCGCTGTGAGCTTTTCGTTGCTTTTTCGTGGAAAAGGTTCATGGTTTCTATCAAGCTACGTTTTCAATAAGTCATCATTTTTATTAAATTTTATTATAAATTCTGACCACGAAGTTTTCACCGTGTAAGAAGAAAAAATTTCAATCATTTGGTAAGATTATTCGTACGAATGTGAATTAGAAAGCATGTAGATCAGGCAATAATCATAAATATCGTGTAACATTAACAAGAAATATATAATATTTGATGGTTCTTAAAAAGTAAATGAAAAACGTGGGTACCTATGTGTATGTAAAGGGAAATATCTTGCAGTCGTTACCTAGCAATTGTTTATTAATGTAAATGTAAGTGTATTTTGAAACTAGTGCAATACTTCTGCACCTATTTACAGCTATAATGAAGATTTTAATTATTTTATTTAATGTATTCTTCATATTGTTGGAGTGATACTTGTGTTCAAGCTTTCACGTTCAAAGTTAAACAAACTTTTGATTTCATTAGTATAGAATTTTACTTGATTTATTTTGTATCATTGATCACTATGGTATTAACAAATTATTATTATCCTACAAGATTTAGTTAAGATATTTACAGTATTCTTTAAACAAGTAATATTTGTACGTCCCTTAAGAATAAATAATTATAAATTATTATAACAAAAGGAACCTATTGTTAGCCTTCAATTTTTTTCTATATATTCTCAAAATAATTAAAATCTCTTTATTTTTTTGACTTCCATTTTTCATTAAGCTGCATGCAAATAAAAATAAATGAGAAGATTGAGGAAACGTCATTTTACAGAAAATCTGCAGTGTTACAATAATGCAATAGAAATCTTTCTTTTAATTTTTCTTCGGTTGCTTCGATCTATGGGCGTTATAGACTCATGAAATTACTATAAAAAATAAGAAAGTGTATCCGAGCCGTAATTATCGGTATCCACTAGGCGTTTAATCTGAAACTGTTCGGAGCGTCGGTATTTAATATGAGCAACATTCCGGATGTTGTAGAGAGTGTAAAAATTGTAATAAATAATGCCTCGGGGGAAAGCATAAATACCCGGATATTTTTACACATCCTGCTTTGAATATTCTTCTTGTTGGAGAAAATATTTATAGAACTCCTGGCGAGATCCCTTATTTTTTGTTATAGCTAAGATATCTAGAAATTAGTTACCTATCTTGTTTCCTTACTTATCTTACTTTAACTGAAAAGTTCAAATATTTTTTGGATTTTATGTATTCGTTGGAATATTTTACTTGACGAATATATGACTTTGATAATATTTAATAATGATATTAATTGAATATTTGAATTAGAAGTGAAATATTCAAATCTGAGTATTTGAACTTGCATATTATAATTTGAGTATTTGAATTTAAATACTTCAATTTGAATATTTGAACTCAAATGTTACAGTTTGACTATTTGAACTTGGATATTTGAATTCCATTATTCCAATTTGCATATTAGAATATAAAGGTTAATCGGGAATATTCAAATTAGAGTTAGAATGTTTGAATTCGAGAATTTTATTTAGAATTTTTGAGTTTGAATGTTCCATTGAATTTGAATATTCAAATTTTAGCATATTTAATTTATTTTATTGGGATTATAATGCACCTAAGTTTGAATTATTAGCGTATACTTGAATTTAATTTCAATTTAATCTGTTTATAAGAAAGAATCGAATGGTAAGATTGAACGGTACAATTCAAATTCAATTAAATGAAGTCGACAGTCGACAAGGCGCGTTCATGTTTTTTTAAGGGCAACATAGTTTCAAAGAAGAAAGTACCGAAGGAAAGTATCAAAGAAGAAGCGGGTCATTGAAGCCATGTGAACTGCATATGCACACAGGCATAAGCTGCTTGACCTTAAATGTCCGACTACTTATTCTCGCTGACATAATGATAGCTGTACGAGCCGCCTGAAAACCTGACATCAGAAATGACGTAAATAATAGTGTAATAAGCAGGATATGCAGTCGAAAGGAAACTGTCACGCGTAATTATAGAGGGACACTTCCTTTTACAACTTTGTTGGCTCAGAAATAAGACATAATCATAAAATTATTACCCTGTTTATTAAACATTTCAATTACCTCGTTTTTTTTTTAAAATCCCGTTATTTATTCTACTTATTTCAATAAATTCTTTTTCATTCACACTTTTGTAACTGATAGAAATACTGGAATGGTAATTGGGTTACCTGAAACATTGTCACTCTTGACAGAAGCATATTAAGTGGGAATGTAGTTTGTAAACGAAGTTTATTTTCCAAATTGTATTATACATATGTCTGTTAATTGTCTGTTGTATTTTCTACAGTGATATACTTTCTAAAGAAATAATATAAATGAACATTTTTCAGGTAATATTAGAACCTGTCTTCTTCTGGAATGACAAATTGATAGATAGAATTTATCTACTAATTTTACATTATATACGAAAATTTTACGCAATTCCCATTGTATCTTGTATGATTTATGCTTCTACATTTTCCTCCATGAAATGACTCATTTCTTGCATTTTATATCCCACACAAAACATCCAAATAAGAAAGTCGTATCTGTAAGTTTTATAGAACCGTTGAATCATTTATCTACTGTTTTACATTCAAATATCAATTCCGTGATTCTTTCTAAATCGAAAATGATGCTTTTTGAATGACAAATACTCTCAGAATACAGACCACCGTGGCCTATAGTTGGGTTAATCGTGACCCACAATAAAGTTTTATACGAATGTATACTTATAAAATAAGAATTCACTTTATCACTGGTACGATCATCGACGGGTCAACAGTGACCCGGCCATAGCAACACGAGAATTAGTACTTCAAATTTTTGTCACAGTAAAAATGTTAGCAGCCATTTAACTGCTTTGTGTGAAATTGATGGACGAGATAGATAGATCACTTATTACGTAATGTCACGTGTGTTTATGTAATTAATTAAATTAATAATCAATGTATCTTGTTTCAGGTACATTGGAAAAGTGGGAGTCGTTAACTGCCAAAGTCGAGGAAGCTCAAATGGCTCGCACGCTTCACCGCGAATTAACAGCGTTACGAACAGAATTCAAAGCAGCACACGACAGACTCTTCTCGTACGAGATCGTTTTGGAGCAGCCCCACATATTGGACGAGAAGGTTAACCGAATTACGGTAAGAATTCATATTTCTATGGCTGCATGCAAGTGAACTTGAGAATCAATACCTTGTACTGATTCATAATCCGGTGATTTATAATCTGGTGGCATAACTTGGAAGATGAATTATGTTCAGAGAAATAATGAATTAATATTTGTATAAAAAGTTACAGAACTTTTCATATTTTGAGCATTTTTACGGCTGATTGTATTGTTGTACTTGACTCTATTCAGTTTTCTTACCAGAGATGGTATTGTTATGATGGTTGTTTTTATTTACACAATTATTATTTTATCATTCTCAATAGTTCATTATTGCCTGAAATGATACGTGTAAGCTATTTCTTTTGTTAAAGAGTAATGGCTTTAAACTTTCTATCGGTAATATATTGACTAGACTGTAACTTTTCTGCATTTGTAGCAAACACAATTGAACGAAACACAGTAATATAAAAATTTCAATAAAGTATAGGGAATTCATTTTTTTTGAGCATATAAAACCGCTAAAAATGGAGGAGATCATATAAAAATATAAAATTGGTAATTTTTAAGTTAGAATTATGATATACATTAATCCATAAAAGTGGGAAATTGTATATCGATTTAGTCTAATGTAGAAATATTGTTTAAATAATTTGTGTCGTTCTGGTTATAAAACACCGTGCAAATAGCGGCAAGAATCTTTTACGTTTAGAAACTAGCTCACTTGACTTGTGGCGCCATCCGTGGTGAAACGCTGAAACTGGTAGACAAACTATACCGACACGTGATGCAAGCAATCGATGGCACCGCCATCTACTTGTGAGAAGAGAATACTAATTGGCTAGTAGCTTGGACGTTTCGCCGTAGATGTCGCCACATATCATATTTATTGCATCTTTACTCAAATGTACAACAGTTTAACAATGACAACGAACGCACGTATATTTTCAAATATCGGACTAACAGTATATTTTTATTCTATATTATTACATATAAGTGAGTAATACGTATCAAAAACGTAATCGAAACACAGATTTTTATTACACCACAGACATCGTATAAAACATATTTCGTTATATTGACATTTGTAATAATTATGGATGTTGCAGGGAAATCAATATTATTGACATTATGGAACATATAACGAAATATCACTGTAACACTTAAAAAAGTTTGAAAGTTCCATTTATATCATTGTCCTGTGAAAATGTTCATACTTCCAGCAACATTCATATTCCAATCAAAGAATTTACAGAATAAGGAAAAGGAATCTAAAGTAATTTTCAGTAGTTCCATACATCTTTATCTGGAATAATTTTCTAAAACATTCAAAGTACTAGAC